CTGAGGGCACAGTCCTCCACGAGACGTCCTTCCTTCAGACACCAGCTACAGGTGTGGCGTCCCCAGAGCCACCTTCACGTCTGACCAGCTGGCGAAAAATCTGGGTTGTCTATAACCACCTTCAGCTTAATAACTTGTTAGAATGACTCAGAGCTCAGAAAGCACTATACTGATGGTTATAGTTTTATTTTAGCAAAAAGATGCAAATCAGGACCCGCCAAAGGGAGAAACAAATAAGGCAAGGTTTGGGAGGGTCCCAACACGAAGCTTCCTTGTCCTCAGGAGGCAACCCCATCCTCCCAATCTTGTCACATTGATGTGTGACAGTACACACAGTTTGTCAGCCAGGGAAGCTCACCCCAGCTGCGGTGTCCAGAGACGTCATCGAGATTTTGTTGCCTATGTATGACTGACTGAACATCGCCAGTGTGGTTGAATCCAGTCTCCAGCTCCCTCTCTTCCCTGGAGGGTTGGGCTGAGATCACGTGGTTCAAAGTCCCCACCCTCTAGTCACATGGCTGGCCTTTCTGGTGTAGCCGGCCCCCATCCTAAGACTGCAGGTGTGGGCAGCTTCACCTGAGCGGTCTTCTTAGCATAAGCTATCAGGTGTGGTCCCAGGGGTCCATCATGAATAGCCAAGATACTGGCGTCCCTCAGGAAATGCCAGGAGTTTAGGGATCACACAGCAGGAGCCAGGGCAAAGCCCATGCCTCTCTTTGGGTGAAGTTCATTCTTCACCGTTTAGTTATTAATTTTTTATTAATAGGAGCCCTGGTGGTGCAGTGGTTAAGCACTCAGCTGCTAACTGAAGGGTCGGTGGTTCGAACCCACTAGCCTCGTTCCCCGGGAGAAAGATATGGCAGTCTGCTTCCATGCAGATTACAGCCTTGGAAACCCCGTGTGGCAATTTTACCTACAGGGTTGCTGTGAACCGGAATCAACTTGATGGCAACAGGTTTAGTTTTAGTATTTGTTAATAACACTAGCAATTATATAGCCCTTTTCATAATTTAAAATGCTTGGAAGATCAGCAAAAATGGAAGA